TTTTTTTGAACTGATACTAAAAGGCAGTCGTATTTAAATGACAACAGGTAATTACTAATCAGGCTTAAACATATAGTTTAGGAAGACTCACCTCAAAATATTCAACAAGCTTATGAGAATGGCGACCAAGAGGTCCAGCATATATGACTTGCCCTCCTCTTTTCATCAATAAGAGCTGAAAAAATTCATAGAAATGTAGCCCGTGAGATTCTGACCATCAGAGATGCATCATTAAAAAATTAATTTGTTTGAAATTCGATTATACCTCATCAAAAGCTTCAAAGATATCGATGCTTGGTTGATGAATTGTACAGACAACAGTTCGTCCTGTATCCACTGTGTTCCTCACTGTACGCATAACAATGGCAGCAGCTCTAGCATCTAGGCCTGAGGTAGGCTCATCCATAAAGATGATGGAGGGATTAGCAACCAATTCTACAGCTATGGTGAGCCTCTTCCTCTGCTCAGTGGAAAGACCATCCACTCCTGGAAGTCCAACTAGAGCATTCCTCAACGGGTTAAGCTCAACCAAATCCATAACTTCCTCAACAAACATCTGTAAGATAAGAAAATGACAATCAGCTACATATTGCAGACTAGAAAAAGATAAAAATTATGGTGAACGATACATGCCTTTCGTGTTTCATTCTTTACATCTGAAGCAAGACGCAGCCAGGCAGAGTATAACAGAGATTCATAGACAGTAACATAAGGTGAGTGGATATCATTCTGTTCACAGTAGCCGCTGACCCTAGCAAATGTAGCTTGGTTCTTTGGGTATCCTGAAATGCTTATGGTTCCTTCTATGTATCCACCAGTTTTTCTGCCTGCTAAGACATCCATCAAAGTTGTCTTTCCAGCACCACTGACACCTACTAGTGCTGTCAGAATACCTGGCCTGAAAGCACCACTAACATCTCTTAGAAGCTGTAACCGGCTCTCTTCAACCGCTTGACTCTTCATTTCCTGACAGTTTCAAGAAAAAATTGCTTCATAAGAAATTTTGTATACATTTTAAAAGATCCACCTCATGGATATTGAAACACATTGGAGAAAAGCAACTTACTGCTGGCATATCCACATAGTAATTCATATGGTTGAAGGCAAGTGAAAGAGGCTGGAAAGGTAAAACCATTCCCCTTTTGGCTTGACCATTTCCACCACTAACAATTGAGCTTGAATTCCCATGACCATTTCTCACCGACATGTCAATCCCTGTATGTAATGATCAAATTTTGAGTGAAGAAAAGATGGTAAGAAAGCAAAACATAGATGATAGATGAATAAAAAATGCTGCCTTACTAATTATAGAGAATAATAATCATTTCTTATTCTGATTGTTTTGCAAAACTAGGAAGTCTGCTGTTGAGCCATAACTAATAAGATGCTTAAAAATGCTAACCTTCTGAATTGGATGTTGACAGCCTGTTCTTCTTGGATTCAGAGTCATCTTCCACAATCATAGCCTTAGAATCTCCCATGGCTGAAAGGGAATGCATCAAATCAACATATTGATTCCAATCACTTAACATGGATTGAGATAGTAAAAAGGAAATTTGGACTTACGATTCAAAAATGTCAATGCTGCAATGAAAAGAACATTGAAAAGGAGGGAAAATGCAAAAAGTGCTCCAACACAAATCCAATAGAAATGTTCTTCTGTGTAGAGGCCTCTGCTCTCAAGAAGGGTCTTTCCAACGGTCTTTCCAATGGCGGAGTTGTCAACAAGCTGAATCAATGGGACAATACCACATTTAGCTTAACTTAAATAGTTGAACAAAGATTTCTGATCCAAGAAGAATGCATGCATGTGTGCATAAAGATAATTGGCACTAAATCATAAATTTTTACTGAAAGTCAGAAGCTTCCTATGCCATTATGGCTATAGAACTTACCGTGCTCCATCTGTCATCAAGAAATTCATTGATAGCAATGGCATTTTGCCCATACATCATAGGAGAAATATAATAGCCCCATATCATCCATGTTGCAATGTCCTCTGCGGAAGAAAAATCATGATCAACTTCATTAGTTTCACAGTTGTCTTGTATATAAAAGAATCTATCTGCTTATCAATAGAAACATTAGGATTTTGCAATACAAAAACATAAATTGTTAAACAACACAAATGCCAAAAGAGTAGAATGGATAAGATTTCAACCTTTGGCTACTATGAAACCTCCCAGCACGAACACCAGTAGCAAGGTAAATGTACCAAGTGTGTTGGCAACCACTTGACTTCTACCAACAGCAGCAATGAAGCGGAAGAGGGAGAGGGCCATTTGGTGTACGCCAAAGAAGGCCAAGAACTGTTTGAAGAACCTGCACATTTTATAGATATGTCAGAACAGCCCAAAACCTCAAATTAATTGCAGTATCAGATCAAAAGATCATAAGCTTCATTAGACTGGCAAGAAAACCATTAAAAAGTGATTTTCACTAACCTACTTGCAGCAGGTGCAAACCCAATAGTGTAATATGTAAGAACAATCCAAATTGCAGATTCCATCAGAGATACAGGAATTCTTGTGAGCCAAATTGGCAACGCAAAAGCCCATGCAGGGTAAAATCGGCAGTCCCTCTGCTTAAAGAACACTGGCAACCTAAAAATGGTCATTGCCAGTTCAGCCATCCCATTGAACATAACATTAAGGAGACTGAAAAACAATGCTCCCCAAAATTTTGTTCCATCCTCTAACTGACCAGATTTCATTTCTGTTCTGAAGAAGACAGTAAATGCGATTGTAGCCATGAAGGTTAACTGGAAAGTCTTGAATATGTAAATAAAAGAATTGCGCTTCATAAGCAGCCATTCCCTAGAAAAGCAAGCCTTGAAGAGTTCCCAATTGGAGATACCATACTTCTCTTTCACTAAAGCAGCAGGATGTGCGCTAGATTTATGAAACGGAACTCTTAGATCTTCTGCAAGTCGTTGACCAACATGAAAGGAGTTGAAAGCCCGTGCAAACTCAGGTACTGAGATAAATCTATAAGGTTGGTTTTTTTTGAACCAGTACTGCTCTTGGTCCTTCTTGGAAGTTACTTCCTGCAGAAAGTCTGCAACCCCTTTCCTTTCAGGGCATTTGAAGCCCATATATTCAAAGAACCCAAGAACATTCTCTCTAGGTCCTTGGTAGACAATTTGACCCTCAGAAAGTAGGATAACATCATCAAAGAGATCAAATGTCTCAGGTGCTGGTTGCAAGAGGGAAATGACCATAGTAACATCCATAATATGAACCATCTGCTTCAAAAACTTGACAATTTGGAATGTGGTGGAACTGTCTAGCCCCGTTGATATTTCATCCATGAAAAATGCTTTTGCTGGCCCAACCAACATTTCTCCTGCACTCAGTATGAGCGGTCCAAGTTAGGGTTTTGAGAAATAATTACCAACTGTAAACACCAATCCATGTTGACAGTACATCTCTATCTTTTTAAATAATTTAACACTTACCAGTGGTTACACGTTTCTTTTGACCACCAGAGATACCCCTCCTCATATCATCTCCAACCATAATATCAGCACAAATATCCAGTCCAAGTATCTGTGAAAGAGTGATATATATAGGATGTTTAGGCCTGTTAACTTGTAATATAGACACAAGATGTAACGTTAAAATAGGGGCCACAAACCTTGAGGACATAATCTGTGATCAAACTAGTCTCCTGCCCAGCCATTGATGTGGCTTTCATGAATGCATCTATCTCTGGGTCTGGTTTGATGCCAGCTTCCTTCTCTCTTCTTGATAACTCTAACAACATATCATACCTTGTTCCAACCCCCAAACAGCGTCCAGAAAAATCTAATGTCTCGCGAACTGTCATCTCACCATAGTGTAGGTCATGCTGGCTAATATAAGCACTTGTTCTCTGAGGGACAAACTCAGAAAATTCATGTCCACAGTAGGTCACATTGCCAGTTACCTGTTTATAGCCCAAAATCAAATCATCAATTCACAGAGAACAACAAAAAAAATTTTAATTAATTTAATTTATGAACCAAATATAAACATAAAGAGGAGAAAGAATAAGGAAGACAGACCCTTAGATCATCATCAAGCTTCCCGGCAAGTGCTTTCAGCAGTGTTGTTTTTCCTGAGCCAGGAGGCCCAAGAAGTAGTGTCATCCTGAAATAAAAGACAATTTATGAATTGTATAAAAAACTCTCTTCTCTCAAAGCAGATATAGGGTGTGTTTGGTGCAGCTTCCTAGTTGCTTCAGCTTCTTGACACTATTTATGTCCCCGTAAGTTTCAATTTTCCTCCTAAAAACTTATATTTTTAAACATTTTTTTACCCTTAAAAATACTCTAAACAGTAAAAAGATCAAAAGCTTCAAATTCAACCTTTTCATAAACTTCTTTTTTACTCACTTTTTCCTATTTCTAAAAGCAACTTTTAAATTTTCCCTCCAATAAAAATTTAAACTTATCACTCATAAACAGTACTCTAAAAAGTAAAAGCTCCAACAAGTTGCACCAAACAGGCCCATAATAATACTTGTCATGCATCAGATTTTCAATAGTAGAGTAAGAACATACCTTGATGGTTTTATTACTCCACTCACGTCTTGGAGGATCTTGACAACTCTTCTCTTTGAAGGAGAAAGCCCAACAAGTCCGAGAACTCCCTACTCATCACAATTGGAACGGAGATCAGAATCCTCAAAATTACCAGTATAGATCATCTTTCCTATGATTTTATAAACGGACATATAGGTTTTCTTTTATATGATGTTTCTTTTCATTTCAAATGAATCTCAAGATATGACTTATGCTGCTAAAAAAATAACCTTTCCACAGGCATTTGATCATTGCAGCATAAATACTACTTCCTCAAAATCATTGAAAAAAAGGACAGAAAAAGAAAAGAAAGATTTTATCTAATGAAGAAACAGGAGAAACTACCTCAACTGCATTCAATGTGGAATTCATCAAGGTCGGAAGTGCTCTAGTCCCAACATATGCATCTCCCTCAACTGATAAATTCTGAAACCTAACTTCAACCTTAGGGATCTCAATTCCTACCCTGTTGCAAACAAAAAAAATGCATTCAATAAGAATTGAAAAAAAGGCTCAAAAGTCCTTCTCTTTTCTCCATTTTCTCATATACCAAGCAAAAACTTCCATGTTCCAACCAAAAGAGTTAATATACAAGAGAAGAGTGATGGATAACCTGTCAGTTCTGGCCCTTAATCTCATCAAGAACCTCTCGTTGTCCTCTTCGACAATCTTGAGTATGCTATCCATCAACTGCTTCTTGTCCTGAGGTCCAAGCTTCGTGACATCTTTCTCTTGATGCAAAACCCTTCCATTACTCGTGACGTGCCTCAGCATCCCTTTCCTCATCCTTTCATAAGTCGGCAGCCTCTCTAGCGCAGCCCATCTCAGCTCCTCTTCATCATCCTCCTCCTGCCTTCCACTCCTCTGAAACACATCCGGCGCATTCCACATTTCTCTAACACTCGAGGCCCTCCAACTCGTTGACGACCTCCTACTACTTGCCTGCCTAGCAAACTCTTCCGGGGCGAACACAGCCGCCATTTTTATCACTTTGAAATCTCTAACACCACCCAATTCTGCACCAAGATTACAAACTGTTTTTCTTGCTCCTAGAAAGATACTTGATCAAACAAATGATTGAATCCAAGTTTCCCAAAACGCAGAACGTGTTCTAACTTTTGTACATTTTTTTTTTTTCCTCCTTTTTAAAGAAAGAGGTGGGAAATAAAAGAAGAAGAAGACGAGATATTTGATATTTGTGCGAGGTGTGTTTGAAAAGAAAGTTTACATAAATAACATGCATGCGAAATTGTTGGTCAATTTCCACAAAATAAAAAAAATAAAAAAATTTGTTGGTCAAAGTGGGGAATACTGTGAGAGTCATTTCCCGCGGCTGAGTTTTGTTGACTTGACAGTTGAGTTCAACGCGTTGATACGTTACTTCGCGGTGTATGGGTACTATGTTAGGCTGTCGGATCATAGCCGTTGGCGGTGCAATCTAGAGGGAAAAGGCAGGAACTGTACTTTGCTGTTTTTTGCTGACCGGATTAAAGGCGGTCAATGCGGTCCCCTTCGATTCCGAGGGCAAAATTCGCCCGCAATTCCGGCACGCTCAGACGCGTAGGGGCCGTACAGTACTACATCCGCGTATACCAATTTACGCTTGTCCGGACACAGAAATAATATAAATGTATTTGTTTTGACTAGACAACAACACGAAGAAGAAAAGAAAAAATAAAATGTTGTGATATTAAAAATATTATAATATTTA